AAAAAAAAAACAAAGTAAATGAGGTGCTTTCCAGCTGAACAAAATAAGTGGCAAACATTAATACTCTATGCTATCACTGAGGCTACAACAAGGATCAAGTTGCCCTCCTCTCAAGAGGAATTAATTAGACAAAGTCACAGAGCTTTTCCCTTCTCGGTTTCTGTTTTGGGTTCTTCTCTTTCCTTTTCCCTCACAACGTCTACTGCTCGTTGTGATGATGTGTGAGTTTAGTGGGGCAGAGGAGTACATACTCTGGACAGACTTCCCAGAGGAGGTGATCCTGTACTTGAACCTTTAAGAACAAGCAGGATTTTCCCATGCATGGAATGGGTAAGGTTATACTGGCAAAGAGAGCAACATGGGAGTGACAAGTAGTTCAGTATAGTAAGCTGTGGTGTGATGAAGTGGGAGATAGAAAATGAAACGAAAGAGATAGGCAGGGGCCAGGTCACTGAGGACTTTGTACTGGACATTATTTTGTGGGTGAACTTGAACTTTAGTCTGTGTATAATAGATAGCCATTGAAAGGTTTGACACATGAAGCTTTGATATAAGTTAGTGCATGATGTTCCAAGGTTTTCATTTTGCAGTGATTGTTTTGGCGCTGGTATGGTAAGTGGTTCTGAGGTAGGATCAGAGTAGAGGTAGGTAGACCAGTTATGTTACAAATTTGGTCATATTAAGAACATAATGACCTGGATTTGGATTCTATTACTAGGGATGGAGTTGAGAAAGTATGGTTGGTAAGTGTTTAGAGTAGAAATCATTAAGACTTAAACATGTTTGGTGAAATGTGAGATTATTGCCAGACTTTTGGCCTGAGTATCTAAGTGCCTGTGGTGATGTTCACTGTAACAGAAAATTTAAAAAAGGAACAGATATTAGGAAAAGATGAACCGCTCAGTTTTAAATGTACTGCGTTTTATTTGTGGTATATTCAGGTGGAAACATCCAGAAAATAATAGGATGTAGGAGACAGAGGCTCAGATAAAAAAGGTCAGGATTAGGGGTATTCGTGAAGGTCCTCCCAGTCCAGGGGAGCACAGAATATATAGAGAGTACGGGTAGAGTATGAAACAGCAACAGGCTGAGCCGTGAGGGAAAAGGAAAAAGAGCCCAAGACAAACCAAGCAGGAAAAAGCTCTGTGTCTTTGCCTAATTAATTCCTCGAGAGGAGGACAACTTCATCCTTGTTGTATCCTTAGTAATAGTATGTTATAGCGTATACATGTTTGCCACTTATTTTGTTAAGCTGAAAAGATCTCATTTACTTTGAGATTTTAGTTTATGACTTGACAATAAATATTTTTAAAATCATATTTCATGAGCACCTATTATGTACTAGGCACTGTGTTAAATACTTTATACATGTTATCTGATTTTATTCTTAAAATAATTCTACAAGGGTAGGTTTCATTATTTTATTTTGTTTTTGAAGAACCTGAAGATAAGAAAGATTAAGGGACTTGGTGAGCTTTTGCACACATCTGTATAACTCAGCTTTCCACACCTATATCACTCTCACACATCTATGTAAATTTCATTCTTTTAACCACCACTGATGATCAGTTATGTGTTTAGACCAAAGGACCATGTGGAAATCTCCTGTTTCTATTGTGCGAGTTACTGTAACCCAGAGGCACTGATTTATATTAATCATCATGGTTAGTCTTACGTGCATTAGCGTGGCAGTTGGACCCTCTGTTTTTGAGTGCAGTAAGGCTTTACTTAATTCTTTTCACTTTTCTGGGTCACTATTTCTTCATTTTTCTATTAGTAGTTTGCATTAGATTGCTAAATTGCATACGGTTCTAAAATCCTGTTAAGTACATTATTTTGAAAAACTCAAACACAGAGATTGTTTGGAGTTTGCATGTGCAGTTTTCTGGGGTGCGACTCATAGCTTTTATCAGACTCTCATAGTTTTGTGTACCTCACCACTCACCTTCATGCAAAAGATTAACAACTATAGTTCTAGAAGTATTTTCCACAATGTAGTGAACTGCAGTGCTTTGTGCAGTCCTCTCCTAAGTAGTTAGGTCTTCTTTAACAAAGGTATTGTGTTTCTTTGAAACTAATTTTTTGACGTAAGGTTCCTTTTTGGCTACTTAAAGTTACAATATTTTCTATACTAAAACAAGTCTTCATTATTTTATCACTTAAAAACAATTCAATTGAATGAGTAAAAGTTTGACTCTGCCCTATGCTAAATTAAAGAATATTCAGTTTTAAAGTGTGATTCAAATTACATTCACTAATATGTATTATTCACTTTGCATCTTCCCGTAGGAAAAGAATAACTGTGGTCCATTAGTAAGGGAAGAAAAGGAAGCAATGACAGAAGGCCTGGAGTTGGTGGTGCCAGTTAAACTGGGTTTGTACCTTTTCTTTTCATAATGTAACATGTTTATTCTAGTCTTGAATCCCTTTTTATCAATCTCCTGCCTTATTCCAGCAGCAGATTGTACAATTTTGAACCTTGCCTTCATATGGAAGAGACAAGGATGAATAAGACATACCCCTTTCAAATTATTTGCAATGTCTCTGTGAATACGAAAGAGAAAAATGATTTAAAAAGCTAGATAATAGTCTCATTTCCAGATAAGAAACTGAGAGGTCTGGTAAATTGTTCAAGGTCAAAAGCTCTTAGATAGTAAAGCTGGGATTCAAACTCAGATTTGTTGACTTCAAACCCCATTTGCCTTCCATTATGTCACAATGCCCTTCATTTAATTTAGGTTTCGTTGTACAACTGCTGATAACCGAAGTTGAGGACCAGGACCCCGTATATTTAATTTAAAGAATTTTTCTGTTAAAGTAAAAGGAAAGGAAAACATTCTCTATTCCCCTAAAGCTTAAGAGATTAGAGAAGGGAATTAATATTGTAGCGTACTTAGTGAATACCAGACACTGTTATTGGGCCATAGCATGAGCTAGCTCCTTTGACTGACAATATCCAGGTGACACACTTGGTATTATCCCTGTTTTAGGGATGAGGAGACTAAGATGCAGAGAAAGGAGTTAAACTGCCAGGATCACATAGCTAATTGCAAAAGTAGAATCCAGACCCTTTACTGGGAAAGGTTATTTAGAGTTACATCATGCCTGTTGACTTAGAATGGAATATCACACGAACCAAATGAATAGCTGCACAGTCTGACCTGAGCACTTTAACTGTGAACATTCTTAATTGGATCATTAACAGTGAAATCATCATCACCAAAATAGTATTTCCGCCTTCTTAATAAGCTTTTCACTGTAACCAGTTTAAGAGGGTAGTTGTTTAAGCTGTGGTGAAGAGAGATTTTAAATTCACGAAGTAGTGACTAGCATCATATGACAGAAGGGACGTGGAGGCGGAGCCAGGCCCAGTCCTTCCAGCTCCCACCTCTCTTACTGACTTGTGTATCTACAAGTGTCAGCCTTCTTTTGCAGCTGAGTTCATTGTTCCTTGTGTCTCTTAGAACTATAAAATTATCCTATCAGTAAGTAGATTTTTTATATGCTTCAAATGTAAATATCAAAGAATATTTACAGATAGGAAGTCTTTAAAGAGCACCTACCTGCATTTTCCAATTTGATAGGTGGAGAAACTGAGACCGTCACATTTGTATGACACTTTAAACATTCAAAGTCCTTCCACATACACTGATTACATACAAGCCATACTACAGTCTTGTGGATTAAATATTTTCATCGTCATTGTACAGATGAGCAAATTGAATTGGACCACGATCACATAGCTGGGCCTAGATTAAGTGACTTGACTCTCAACCTAAAGTTTTGCCATGTTTTCCTTGGGACTAATTACATCCTTGTGATGAAATCCTATTGTGTGAGAAAGTTAAAATTCAGTGATTTATGAAACAAATACAAGCAGGATAAACAAACATATCTGAGTAGGAAAGCATTAATGACTACAGCAAAAACCAGGGTCTACGAGTTGATTTAATCTTTGTTTTCATTTATTCCTGGATTTGGAGTAAGCGTAATTGATGTTCAGCATTCTGGTGTATATCAGTACTATTTGAGTTGCTTTATCCTTTAAATAATTTTTAAAAACCATACTTCATAGTAAAGTACTTATAAACTGTAGATGAACTAAGGAGAAATTAAGACAATTAATTCAAATGGATGTCCTAAAAAACAAATGAACAAATAAGTGTGAGAAGCTAAACTACATGCAGAATTATTCAGTGTGATTGCCTTGTGTGGTGTGAGATTTTTTCCTCTTTTCTCCTGGTTGTGAGGTACTGCTTAGAAGCATTACCTGTCTTCATGCCAGTGATCTGGCTGTGCAAACAACAAATCTCTCTACCTTGGTAACTTTTTGAAAAATATGTATTTTTTTAATTGGAAAGAAAATTATCTTAAAACTAGTATATGGATGTTAGACGTTTTACTTTCTTTTTTTTTTAAGATTTTATTGGGGAATTGGGGGAGGGAACAGCATTGGGGAATCGGGGAAGGGGAACAGACAAGTTGCTGTCCTTTTGTTCTTCAGTCTAGTTGTGAAGGACTTCACTTCACTGGCCCATGTTGATATTGTGATCATTGCAGTCTTCCCAGCCTAGGCAGATACGTCACCGGCCATTGGAAGGCTGCTCACAGTGGCTCACAGCAGCTCATGCTGGCTGCTGGCCCACTGCAGCGTATGCTGTCACCGGCCACTCACCACAGCTCCAGGTCGACCTGTTGTTCACCATCTTAGCTGTAGAGGGTGCAGCGTCACTGGCCCATGTGGTATCCAAACCAGCAACCCTGCTGCTCAGAGTTCACGTTCCCAAGCCAACTCTTGACTCTTGACCAACGAGCCACTCGGCTGGCCCAGCAGTTTTTCTTTTATAATTCTGGTCCCCAAATTGTTCTTCCTTTAAAAGGAGTTGATTTTCTAGATTATATAATATGATGGTGCTTTCTCTGTGGGTGTAAAAATTTGATCATTAACAAGATTTTGGTTTTTTATTCTATGTCAAAGTTTTAACATTTGAAATTATATTTGTTGTATAGAACTAATAAATGGAAGGAGGATCCCCATGTGGTTCTAATCAAATAAGGAAAACAAAACAGTGAAGGATAGACGAGGTGTAGAACAAAATTGGAAAATGTCATGGTAAGATCTGACTTAAATGAGGGAAGAAAGATGTTCTTCCTGAAAACTTTTTCCCTTCAGTCCTTTTAAAGATCCTCTTTCCACATGGTCTTACCTGCAGAAATCTGCCAGGAACCCACTCTTTCCTCACCAGCCCAGGTCCCTGCTCTCCGAGCAGGGTTATCCGAGGAGGACTGGCCTTTAATTCTCAGTTTTGTATCTGGCCTTAACACATGTGCCAGGGTTTTGTTCAGCCACTGCTTTAAGGCTCTTTAAAGAAAAAATGAAAAGGCCACTTGACAGTAGTTGATACTGAGGTTTTGTTCTGAGGAAACTCGGGAGTGAGTCTCCCAGCGACTTCCAACAACTGACAAGCAGTGTCATTCACTTGTACTTGTTACGACACGTGTGTGCCTTTCTCACCCAAACTATTGTTTTATTATAGTTACTTCCCATCTGCCAGCTGTGATGGACAGGTCCTAATAGACTTGTAATATTTAGCTGAGGGCTTAGAATTTTTAAAGACAACTGGGCTTTTCCTGTGATTCATGAGTTTCCCTTGCTTGGCATTAGGGTTGAAGATCCAGGCTGCCAGGCTGGCATCTTGGTATGAAAGCATTCCCTCAATGCACGTGGAGACTGTGATGCAGGAGGCATGGCCTTACCACATAAGCCCTTTCACTCTGTTTTTTTTATTTTTTATTTTTTTTAAGATTTTATTGGGGAATTGGGGAAGGGAACAGTGTTGGGTTATTGGGGAAGGGAAACATTGTGTTTTTCCAGGACCGATCAGCTCCAAGTCAAGTTGTTGCCCTTCAGTCTTAGTTGTGGAGGGCGCAAGCTCAGCTCCAAGTCCAGTCACAGCTTTCAATCTAGTTGCCAGG